AAATCATCAAAACTCACAAGTCACAGAAGACAGAAACCCAGCCTGGGAAGTTGGGGAAGGGAACCCAAAGTCTCTCCTTTCTTTCCAGAATGTCCCTCCCTCCCTCACGATGCCCACATCCCCCGCCCGCGCCCCCCCCGCTTTTCCTCCTCCCAGCCCCCATCCCAATACCGACGGCTGATGTCTGGAACCACGGCTGAAGCACTGGGAGGACCTCAATGTGTGGCTTTTCCACTGTCAGCCACCCCAGTGGTCACCCCAGGCAGAGAGAGATTGCTTTCCGAGTATCTCCTGCTGAGTCTCCCGCCTTCGAGGCCCCCAGCGCTCTGCTCCGCGCAGAGGCACCGCCAGAGTTAAGCGGATTTCACGCTATTTTCAAAGTCATCTTCCGTGGAAAAATTCTGTACACCATTAAACCTACTTTTTTTGCTGTTCATCATTTCCCTAAAAGCTCCACTCCTCTTCCATGAGGTAAATAGCAATCGGAACACCAGGATCCTGCTCGTGACACCCTACGGGCAGGCCTGATGTCCGTGGCTGGGGAGAAGGTTCTATGAGGTGTGGGGCAGAAAGCCATCGGCGGTGCAGCGGGCTCCTCTCTGCATGCACTAAGCCTTGCTTCTCAGCCTCCTGATCCTTCCTAAGGACTGCTGTGCTGCCAGAGCTGCCCCTCAGATTAGCAGCCTCCCTATGGACTCAGCAAACTCAGTCTCGAGGAGGAGTCAGACTTGGTGCTTTGCATCTGCTAGGAAAACACTTCACCATGGAGCTACAGCCCAGTGCCCCACCCCACACACCCCAGCCGCCTAAGCAGCTATGGGTTGGAATGATCAGGATGAACCCCGATGCCAGGCAAAAAAATCAGCACGGGCTTCCTGGTAAACCCACCTAGCTTGAGCTAGAAACCCAGGTGCTGGGGAGACGACTCAGTGGTTAAGAGCACTGCCAGAGACCAAGGTTCGATTCCCAGCACTCACATGGTAGTTCACAACTGTCTGTAACTCCAGTTCCAGGAGATATGGTACCCTCACACAGACATACATACAGGTAAAACACCAATGTGCATAAAGATAAATACTAAAAAGAAGCCAGGTGGTGGCGGTGGCACACGCCTTTAATCCCAGCACTCCGGAGGCAGACAGGTGGATCTCTGAGAGTTCAAGGACAGCCTGGTCTACATAGTGAATTCCAGAACAGGCTCCAAAGCCCTGGAGAACCCCTGCCTTGAAAAACCAAAACAAACAAACAAACAAAAAAAAACAACAAAGAAAGAAAGAAAAAAACCTATGTAACCTGTCACCACAGTGAGGCCTGCCCACCAACAGATTTGGAGAAACTGAAGCCAAGTGACTTTCCTTGGCACATGGCTCTCAGAGGTCCCTGGGTGAGAATGGATTTTACCTGCCAGCTCCCCTGGAGCCAGACGACTGACCTGCACTCAGCCACAGACATTAGGACAGGCTGGTATGAGGACTAAATAAAGGGTTCTCTGATAATCTTGCAAAGCCTGTCATGTTCCCACAGACATGGAATGGATAGTTGGTGGCCACTCATGACCTGAAAGCCACCGTTAATCCCAGGAACACACAAGTACTAAACTCCAGAGAGACTTTCTTGGTCTTTGATTTTTCTTTTTTTTTTTTTTCTGAGATGGAGTATCCTTCTCTACGTAGCTCAGGCTGGCCTCCACCTCAGCTTTCCATAGGATGAGATTACAGGCATATACCACCACACCCGGCTCGTTCTTAGACATCTGAGCAGCAATCATGTGTCACCATAGACAAGGTAATCTCCGTAAAAAGACTGATTTCCTCAATGGGAAATGTAGAAATAAAAGGGAAATTTTTATTTCTTTAGCCTGGTTTTGAAATTACATTTATTTGTTTGTTTATTGGTGTGTCTGTAGGCATGTGCCACAGCATTCATGTGGAGACCAGAAGACGACTTGTAGGAGTCACTTCTGTCATGTGGGTCCCGGGGATCAGTCTCAGGTCCTCAGACTCAACAGCAAGTGACCTTACTGAGGCATCTCATCTGACCTGGGGTGAAAGTTTTTTCAGACAGGCTCTGGCTGGTCTACAGCTCACAGAGATCCACTTGAAGGCAGGTCTTGGACTCAGACCTGCCTGCCTCTGCCATTGGAGTGATGGGAAAACTTGCATATTTAAAATATTCTTTCCAGGTGACTGGAGAGATGGGCTCAGCAGTTAGGAGCACTGGCTGTTTTTCCAAAGGATAGGGCTTCTATTCCCAACACCCACATGGTGGTGATTCTCAACCGTCTGTAATTCCAGTCCAGGGGGATCTGACACCCTCCCCTGGCCTCTGCAGGACCAAGTGCACATGTGGTCCACAGACGTAAGTGCAGACAAAACACCCAAGCACATAAAACAGTACATCTAAATAAATAAAGCCTTCCCTTACAGTCATCTAGGATGTAGCTCTCAGTTTTTTCTCTCCATAGGAATCCAGCCAAATGTTAGCCTCAAAACCAGCATGAAGCCTGGCAGTGGTAGTGCACACCTTTAGTCCCAGCACTTGAGAGGCAGAGGCAGGCCATGATAGTAGATCAGGCTGGCCTCAAACTCACAGAGATTCATGGCCTGCTGGTTTTGAGGCTAACATCTGGCTGGATTCCAGGACAGGCAGGGCTACATAGTGATTCCTGAGCATGAACATCAGTGACAAGTATGGACACAGTTTAGGTACCTTTGCCTTTCTTGGCAGATATTACTATTATTATTGGTTTTGGTTTTTTTGACAGGGTTTCTCTGTAACTTTAGAGCCTTCCCAATGACACTGACACATGATTTATATTTCTTTCCTGGAAAAAGAAGCTAACATTTCCACTGCAGGTTTAGGGCTCCACACGAGGCTTGGATGAAGTGATCTTTCCATCTCTGGACCCAGGTGTGTTTTACAGGACAGTAACCCCCAGCAAGCATCTCAGGCATTTGCCTGCCCTCCATGCCTCAAGCAGAAATCAGACTCCAGGGGGCCTCCATAACTCAGGCTCTTAGAAGGGGTGATGGTGCCTGCTATACCATGAGTACGACTGTGATCCTGTCTTCAAATGGGAAAAAGGAGGCACGTGAATGTCTAAGGTGGGAATTGCCAGATCTGGGTGGGGCCCTGGAACCCACATTCCTGACAAGTCCTCCCTGTTTCCTCCAGGTAGCAATCTATACATGTTTTTGTTTTACAGTACCAGGGATTGAACGCAGGGCATCACCCACGCTGGGTAAGTGGCTATCTATTGAGCTGCATCCAAAATCCCATGATGTTATTTAAGTCCCACTAGGAGACTCGGCTCCCAGCCTCAAAGGGCCAGTTCTGGTACTGAGTGCAAGCAAGAAAATGTAGTTTCAAAAATGATACTCTCAGAGGGGACCTTGGGGCTACTTCATGGCCAAAATTGATTGCACTGGACTGCCACCCGCTGGCTAGAGGTTGCCACTGTGAGTTAGATTTTAAAAATCCCCTGTTCAATCCTGTCACCAAACCCTCACAGGTGGCAGGGTTTCTGTGGTGACCCCAGAGCATAAAATCCACCAGTATCAACAACAGGGACCTGGGGTGAGTCCTATGGGACGAGAGAGATACATGCAGGAGAAAGAAAGGCCATTCTGGGTGAGGGACATACCATGAGTGTGAGGGAGAAATAAACTCAGGGGTAGGTAGGGACTGGTCTGAGGTGGGCCTTACTAGTTTGGGGTGAGTGGAGCCAGAGTCGATTTGAAAAACAATACAGTATAAAGGCAAGCTGCTGCCTGCAGATTGTAGGGTGGCTGTGAAGATGGAGGGGGGAAACTGGCCTATGAGAAATATTTAAAACCACTGATTAGGTTTGCAAAAACCAGATCTCATGGAATTAACAGTAAGAAAGGATTAAAGTCCCAACCCATTCTTTCTCTGTTCAAGTATTAACACCTGTTGTGTGGCTAGAATTAATCTATCATCTATAGAATTCACTGCTGTCAGCAAAAGAAAAAAAATTGCTTTTTCATACAGCCCTCTACTGGGTGCAACCAAACAGGAAATTAACAATAGAAACAAGAACCTACCAGAGAATTCCAAAGAGTGATGTTATAGTGACTCAAGAGATAACATCTGCTGTACAGGTAACAGGGAAGACATTGGGATTGGCTGTGGTGGTTGGTATGGGCCTATAATGCCAGCATTCTGCCGGATGCTGAGGCATGACGATCTGGGATTCGTGGTCGGCATGGGGACATACAACTTTAATCCAGCAAAAGCAGGCAGATCTCTGTGAGTTCAAAGCCAGTCTGGTCCACACAGCCACGGCTAGTGAGACCATGTCTAAAATTAACCAGTTTTAAAAGAAAGGGGAAAGAGAGTAGGTGAGGGGGAAATGAGGAGAGGGAGGAACAAAGAGGAAGAGGGAGGGAGAAAGAGCACTTTGGACCAAAGGATCGAGTACGTGAAGTCCCAGAGCAGAGAAGAGAACAGGAGTTCAGCACCAGAGGCAGCCAGTGGGACTGGGAACAGCGGGCAGAGGGAAAAGGGGAGGAGAGAGCTGAGGGCCACATTTCACACAGCCCTTCTCAAGGAAGGAGCTCTGTGAGGAAAAGGAAGTCACAGGATCTAATTTCACCAAAATCTCTGGAGATTGGGTCATATGGGAGGGGAAGGAGGAGGGAGCTGTGTCCTGGGCCAGCAGAGCAAAGGGAAAATTCTGAATCAATTTGGAAGTAAAAAAAAAAAAAGGGTCAGGGGATGTAACTCGGCCATCTCCATAGACAAAGCCCTCATCTGCTGTGGGCCCAGCCTGCCTGACACACCCAGCATGTGGAGGAGGAAGTGTCATAGTCAGCCAGACCAAATTGTCAATTCTGAATCCAGTTCATAACAGTCCCACCAGCCCAGGTCCCAAGCATGTACTATCAGAAGACAGAAATGGTGACCCAACCCCCTGAAGCTGAAAGGGAGCCTAGGAACGGGCAGTCACATCTTAGCCAAACAAATCCCAGAGACCTCAGGCAGTGTGTGAGCAAGACAACACTTTTATTTCTTTGGTTTTTGAACTTTGCTGTTGAACAATGAAAATTCAGCCTCCCATCAGCTTTGTAAACTTGTGACTCCTTGCCAAAGATGTGACTCAGGACAAAAGCAGGTCCCCAACAGCCAGCCAGGCTGGCAGGGACCAGCAGAGAGCTCCAGCAGAGGGAGCAAGCCTTCCTCTCTAGTGTCTCCAGGGCTTAGGGACTTCCCTGGCTTAGAGGCCACCAAGGTTTGTTCTGTGAAGTCCAGCTTATGATCATGAAGAGCCTGGCACCTTCTCCAACTGGAGGCATGAGACAAAGACACACACCTTCCTCACATTCAGTTCCCTTGACCCTTTGGAAGTCACCTTTGAGAAAAAAGGACATCACCCTAAAAAAAAGTAAGGACATATTCTGCCTGAGAGAAGATAATGGCCATGCCATAATACTTTGTGGGCCCAGGAAAAGCTGCAGCAGGTATCTGTGGCACAATGGCAACTTCCACAGCCACTGGCAAGGAAGTCCTGCCAACCCACCTTAGCAGAAAAAAAAATACTAAATAATAAAAATACATGGCCATCCAACAATGAGCCAATTGGCACTCCAGTAGCTTTCATTATTTCTACCTCTCCACCCCAAGCCGACAAATAATGGAAGACAGAGTAAAGGGCGTCCTGGCCAAGTCAGGAGACAACTCAAGCCTCTCCTTCAGCCATCAGCCATCAACCAGTGTGAGGCCTTCAAAGAGAGCCCGCTTCCACATGTAGTAAGTGGAGCGCGCAGTGAGCGGGAAGAGAGACTGGAACTCCTTGTAGGAGGGGAAAGTCTTGGACTGGAAGCGCTTCTGTAGGAACAGCTTGGCTTGGGCCTTGAACCTCGTGGTGGTGAGCATGTCCATGACCAGCACCTGGCCATCCCTGCCACCTGCTGCCGCCGCCACAGCATGGCTTGATAGGGATCCACTGTGGGGTTGGCCCTGGGTCATAGCTGTCTCCTGAATGACCCCCTCTCTAGGCCTTCCTTGGGCATGTTCTGGGGGCGTTTCTGAAAAAGCGGCCACCGGCAGCGTTTCCACCTGAGGAGCCATCACAGAGGTTTTATTCTCAACAGCTTCCATCTCCTGCCATTCGGCTGGCTTCTGCTGTTCCTCTGGTTCCTGCCTCCTTTGGCCCACAGAGGAGGCCCGCATCCTGGGCCATCCCCGGGAAAGACTTTTCCACACCCAAAAAGTGGAAGGTAACAGGCTAGGGTAGCGGAGGCGGAAGCGACAGAAGGACAGGTGCCCACTTAGCACCTGCTTGCGGGCAGCCCTGCGCAGTCGCCTCTGCCAACGAGACAAGGGCATCCTTGTGGATGTGGGCCCCTGGGAAGTAGGAGGGTCTCCACCTACTGCTTTCCCTGTCCCCTCTTCTCCCACCTCACCCTTCAAAGAGAGTAGGGCCGCGTCCCCAACATCTGTTGGGGGCAGAGACTCAGTGGTTTCAAGGGCTGGGGCCAGCTTAAAACTGGGGCTCCTCCTGAGGGCCTTCCGCCTCCAATTGTAGTAGGTGGACCTTGAGATGCCAGGGAACCTGCTTTTGAAGCAGCGATAGGGTACCAGTTTGTTCAGGGAGATGCAATGTTCTAGGTACGACTTGGCACGCTGCATTAAGACCATGCTAGGGCTAGACACCGCCACTGCTGGTGGGGAGCACCCCAGCCCCTCGGCAGCCTTCTTCCCTGGGAGGTTCTCCAGCTCTGGCACAATTAGTGCCTCGCTGGGTGGAGTGGCAGGGACCAGGGCTGGATAGGCACCAGAGCCCAGCAGCTCATGCTTCCAGGCATAGTAGGTAGAACGGGAGATCTCCGGGAATCTCTGTAGGAACTGTTGCAATGGCACAAGGCCCCCACGGTAGAAGCTGTCCTGCAGGAAGTGCTTGGCCGAGAAACGCGTGGCCACCTTCTGCCGGTGCTCCTGGGTCTGCCGCCGCCAGCGGTAGAAGGTGCTCTTGGTGATGTTGGAGCGGTCACAGAGGTGGGAGTAACTGAGGCTAGGTTCACGGTTGAGCAGCTCCAGGGTTTTGGCTGGTGGTAGCAGAGGACCCGGGATTGGAGGAGAGGGGTCCAGGGCAGCAGCACCATCAGCCTCCATCTCTTCCAGCCCAACCACAGGGGCAAAATACTGGTGACGGAAGAGGTGGCTGGTGAGGGGCTGGCCAGCCCACATGATGTGCAACATGGAGGTCACGTGGGTGCAGCGGCGAGGCCTGATAACACGGTTAAAATAGGGTCGGATCTTGACATTGCGCATGGGGTAGATGGAGTAGATATTGCGCTCAAGGATGGAGGCAAGGGCGTACAAGTGCCACACATTGGAGAAGCTGGTGGGGAAGCACGTAGCCTTTACATCTGCGTCAAAGATGGCCTCCAGTGTGGCAGAGGACAAGTTGGTCATCTCAGGGGACTCCTCAGAGCACAGGGAGTAGCGCACGGCCTGGAGCATCACCTTGGAGTCGATCATACCCTGGAGATAATAGTGCCTGTGAAGCAGCATCTCCACCACGGTGCGGGCCCGCAGCTCCAGGCTGAGACCCGTGTGCCCCCACAACAACATGCTGGCTGCTTCAAACAACAGGCTACCCTCACCCTTGCACACCAGGGGCAGCATGTTCTGTGGAGCATCCTCTGGGTATAGACTCAGAGCCACAGAGTCCACCTCCAGCACCTGGGGTCCAGGGCCACCCTTCTGGCAGATCGGGAGGGTGAAGGAAGCCAGGACCTGCTTGGCCTCCAGGGCGGCGCCGTGGAGACCTTCCAGGCCCTCGGACTCCACAGCCTCCTGCAGGTCCCGCAGCACCTGCTGCACCAGCTGATCCCGAGAAGTCATCCTGACAGGGTGAGAGAGAGGGCAGAGGTCAGAACAAGATGCCTATATGATACCCAACAATAATGGATGTCCCATGCACTCCTGTAACTTCTCCCTAGAGCAGTGGTTCGCACCTTGTGGATCGTGACCCATTTAGGGGTCGGAGACTCTCTCACAGGGGCTAAGACCATGGGAAACCATATTTCCATTCCAATTCATGACAGTAGCAAAGTTAGTTATGAAGTGATTATGGTTGGAGGTTACCACAATATTAAAGGGTTGCAGCATTAGAAAGGTTGAGAATCACTGTCCTAGAAGTAATGTCCATTTACTCCTATTTCCCCTGAAGAGATAACAGCTAATTGCTACCTTGGCTTTGTTTAAGTCACTCAGTGGTTTCAGTGGTTTTGAGGAAAAGCATACTCTGGAACCTGGCTTAGAATCCTGGTTCTGATGTGGGTTTGTCAAAACACTTAACCTCCTGCCTTCTGTTGTCCCAGTCCCTGTCTCTGTCCCCCACCCCACCCCCCACCGTAACATGAGTGCCTACCTTAGAGAATCTATGGGCATAGCTGATACAATGAAAGTTTAAAATGAACATCTTCAATCCCAGGACTGGGACTGTGAAGGCAGGAGGATCATGAATTCAAGGTTAGCCTGGGCTACCTAGCCAGATTCTTAGGTAAAAAAACAGACAAACACAGGCGCTTTTCTATGTCCCATGTCCCTCCCTAGAACAGTAGCAGACACATAGTAAAGCAGTATAGAATGTTAGTTACCATACACCATTATCTAATACATATACAGCAGATATGCAAACCACACTTCTATGAGGCTTGGTTGTACATGCCTTTAATCCTAGCACTCACCATACACCATTACCTAATACATACATACTACATGGCAGATGTGTAAACCACACCTTTACTGGCCATGGTTATGAATGCCTTTAATCCCAGCACTCATCTAGGAGATAGAGGCAGCCAGATCTCTCCAAGTTCCAGACCAGTCAGGGCTACAGAGTGAAATCTTGTCTTAAAATATATAAATTTAACTTTCTCTGTAGTAGTTCAAGAGATCACATAAGCCGGGCGTTGGTGGTGCACGCCTTTAATCCCAGCACTCAGGAGGCAGAGGCAGGCAGATCTCTGGGAGTTCGAGGTTTGAGGCCAACCTGGTCTACAAATCGAGTTCCAGAACAGCCTCCAAAACAATACAGTGAAACCCTGTCTCCAAAAACAAAACAAAAGCTAATTCAAGGTCAGTGTGGGCTACAGAACCTGACTTAAAAACAAACAAAACCGAAAACCACCGCAGAGATAGAGAAATGGGTTATAGAGACTCAGGCATACTTGACAGATTTTTCTCAAAATGAATCAGGTCATAAGCTGGAGAGATGGCTCAATGGCTTATCTCTTGCAGAGGACCTGGGTTTGGTTCCCAGCACCCACACAAGCATCTGTAACTCCAGTACCAGGAGACCCAACACTCTCTTCTGGCCTCCTTGAATACATCCATGTGATATACATACAAGCAAAACACTTATACACATAAAATAAATGTTAACTTTTTTCTTTCTTTCTTGTTTTTATTTTTCAAGATAGGGTTTCTCTGTGTAGTCCTGGCTCCTGAAACTCACTCTGTAGACATGGCTGGCCTTGAACTCACCAAGGTCTGTCTGCCTCTGCCTCCCGAGTGCTGGGATTAGGTGTACACCACCACCATCACCACCACCACCAGTCTTGGGGTTAAATTTTTTTAAATAATACAAAAAAGAAGCTTATCTCTTCAAAGTTAACTATATGACTGTAACTTAAGTTTGAGTTTCCTGAATAGGAAGAGGAATCACAATGCCCAGGAATTCAGAGCTAGTCTAGGAAATATCATTAAGACTGTCTATCAAAAGATAATAATAGAGCCAGGTGCAGACAGCACATACCTTTAATCCTAACATTTGAGAGATAGAGTTCAGGGCCAATCTGGGCTCTGTAGTAAAATTAAGACCAGCCTGGCTGATCCTGTATCAACTCCCTCTAATTTTTTTTTTAAACTTCATATCTACTACAGTAACCTCGACAACTTCCCAATACCTAAATATGGTTTCTATACTGTGTAATCATATTGTCGACATTTCTATTAAAGAGTTAAATTACAAAAAAAATCTCTATTACTACATAACTGTAATGTCAAGCCTTAAAAGTCAAGCACTTTAGGCTGGGAGTTGGTAGCACACACCTTTAATCCCAGCACTTGGGAGGCAGAGGCAGGTGGCTTTCTGAGATTTTGAGCCAGCCTGGTCTACAAAGTGAGTTCGAGGCCAGCCTGCTCCACAGAGCGAGTTCCAGGACAGACTCCAAAGCTACACAGAGAAACCTTGTCTCAAAAAACAAACAAACAAAAACAACCAAAGTCGGGGCTGGAGAGATGGCTCAGAGGTTAAGAGCACTGACTGCTCTTCCAAAGGTCCTGAGTTCAATTCCCAGCAACCACATGGTGGCTCACAACCATCTATAATGAGACCTGGTGCCCTCTTCGGGCCTGCAAATATGCATGCAGGCAGAATACTATATGTATAATAAATAAATAAATCTTAAAAAAAAAAACAAAGTCAAGCACTTTGTAAAATATGCAATGTATAACATAGCATTTGGGTTTCTTGTTTTACTTTTTTCTTTAAATAGGATCTCTGGAGCCTCTGCAAAGAGCTGGGAATAGTAACTGTTTGAAACCTGAATCATAACTAAGCTTTGACCAATTGTCATGCAGAGTTTACATAGAATAGCAAAAAGATCCATTGAAAAATCATCAAAGGCACCTTCAAATAGGGACCAAAGCTGGGTGGTGGTGGCACACACCTTTAACCCCAGCATGCTGAAGGCAGAAGCAGGTGGCTCGCTGAGATTTTGAGCCAGCCTGGTCTACAAAGTGCATTTCGAGACAGCCAGAGCTGTTACACAGAGAAACTCTGTCTCAAAAGACAAAACAAAATAAATAAGGGATTAAAGTCAGATTTTCCTGTTTTTCCCCCCAACAAAACCAGGTATGAAGACAGACTAATGAGGATCTACTAAACTAGTATCAAAGAGGTCTGAAAAAAATACAAAATAGTTCTTACTTTTTCTATGGAAATTTTTCTTTTTTAAATTAGTTCTAGGGATCAAACCCAGGGCCTTGAAGTCACCAGTGGTAAACTCCTACCACTGAGCTATGTCCGTAGCCTAGGAAAAGTTACTTTTCATGTCAGTGATTGTCTGTTACTATTTCATTTTTTACTTCATTTTAAATTAATATTAGGAGTTGAACCCAGGGCCTCGAACATGCAAGACCAGCCCCTTGGTTTTCATTCTGCTATAGTATACACTGAGATAAACAGTCTTCAAGCTCCTCGTTTAATGAGCTAACAGAGATCCTGAAACCAAAGAGTTGAGAGCTGCTGCCCTGGAATATGTGGTCTTTCCCAGAGGGACCAAGGAAGACCATCTGGAGCAGAGGACTGTGGATGGAGACTGCTTGTGTTCTAAACCCAACAGCAGGACAACAGCGTTGCAACTACTGGGATAGCTCAGGGGTGGAGTACTTGCCTAGCGTGATGGAGACCTTATGCTCAGTCCCCAGGACTGCAAAAAATAAAACAGATGGGGAGAGAGCTCAGTTGGTACAGTGCTGCCCAGAAACCTGGCCTGAGCTCAGAGCATCAGAATCAGTTACAGTCAGGGGAAGTGGCACACACCTGTATAGTCAGGAAGGAAGGTCCCTGAGGCTTGCTGACCAGCCCAGCTGGCTGAATGAGGAAGAGAAACTATCCCGAAAATGATGAAAAGCAATGCAGGAAAGATGAAAAGCAATGCAGGAAAGACACCCAGCATCAAATGCCCCTCCACACTCACTCTCCCACAAACACACATCACACACACTCTCTCTCTCTCTCTCACACACACACACACACACACACACACACACACACACACACACACACACACACACACACACACACACACACAGAGACACCAATCCTGATGATCTGAGTTTAATCCTTGGAACCCAAATGGTAGAAAACAGGAACAGACTCTGGGAATTGTCCTCTGACTGCCTCATGTGAGCAATGGCATGTATGCCCACTACATACAAAATAAATAAATATAATAATTTAAAAAATAATAATCCTGGCCTCAACAGTTAAGAACATTTGTTGTTCTCACTGATGACCCAGGTTCAATTCCCAGCACCCACATGGCAGCCCATAACCTCCATAACTCCAGCTCCAGGGACTCAAAACCTCTTCTGACTTCCACAGGCACCAGACATGCATGTGGCACAGACATACATTCAAGCAAAACTCATACACATAAAATAAATTGCAAGGCGGTGGTGGTGCACGCCTTTAATCCCAGCACTCTGGAGGCAGAGGCAGGTGGATCTTGCGTTTGAGACCAGTCTGGTCCACAGAGTGAGTTCCAGAACAGTAAGGGCTACACAGAGAGACCTTGCCTCAAAAAACCAAAAATAAATAAATAAACAAGTCCCTGGTTTTGTTTGTTTGTTGAGACAGGGTTTCTCTCTGGATAGCCTGTAGACCAGGCTGGCTAAGATCCACTTACCTGTCTCCTGAGTACTGGGATTAAAGGCATTCATCATCACTGCCAGTGCCTCCCTCGACAAGTCTGACTTTAAAAAGGGTGTGCAAGGGGCTGCAGAGGATATAATTCAGCTAGCAGACTGCTTACCTAGCATGCAAGAAGCCCTGGATTCCATCTCCACCACCACACAAAGATGTGTGGTGGCGCATGCCTGCAATTCCTGAACAGCAACCCCAACACTCACCTAAAATTCCAGCACGGGGGAGGTGGGGGCAGGAGGATCAATGCCCAAGGTTGTCCTTGGCTACATCTACAGTTTGAAGTTTGTCTGGAAATACCTCAGACGCTGTCTCAAAATTAAAGAAAAAAAACTGATAATATCACTAGCCCCAATCCACAGGTGGAGAAACTGAGGCAATTAGCAGCAGCCTAATTTGTCTAAAATATCACAAGTGAATGAGCTAGCCAGGTGCTGTACTCTCCCATTCAACCAGACAGTCTGCTTTCCAATACAGGTCAATCACCTTCAGGATTTGCCAAGCCAAGGCATTCCTTTGTGGACAGCTTTTAAGTGAGAAAAGAGAATGTTTTCTTCTCTGGCTTCCCAGATCGGTTCTCAGAGCCTAGCCCACTGCTTTAATTAGCCCCCACTTTAAGTGTGTTTCCATATACTTGATTCAGCTCAAACTGTATACGTAAGAGAGATGCACTGGAATGGAAGTTGTAATTGGGTAAAGGTGGGCAAAAGAGAGTTTCCAAGCACGGAAGGGGCGGCCAGAATTTTCCTAGATGGCAAGAAAGGAGAACCTTCTCAGTAGTGACAAGCAGAGCTACCCTTAGTTAACATTACAGGCTGTCAAGTCTTCAAAATGTGCATATTAAGAAAATATATGTAAGAATTATACCCCAGCCAGGTGGTGCACACCTTTAATCCCAGCACTCAGGAGGCAGAAGCAAGCAGATCTCTGGGAGTTCAAGGCCAGCCTGGTCTACAGAGGAGTTTCAGGACAGCTAGGGCTGTTACACAGAGAAACCCTGTCTTTGGAAAAGACACATGTGTATATTAGGAACAATCTGGCATAAAATCACCAAATTCATACTTGTGCAATGTTTGGATTCTTTTTTTTTTTTTTGCTTTCTGGTTTTTTTTGGGGGGGAGGGTATAGATTTTGTTGCTATTCTTTAAGCAACAGGTTCTCATTATGCATCCTAGGCTGGTCTTGAATGAGATAGTCTTGCCTCAGCCTCTGGGATTATAGAAGTGCACCCTTGAGCCCCTTGTCCCCCAACCTTGCCTGTCCTGGAACTTGTAGACCAGGCTGGTCTCGAACTCACTGAGATTCACCTGCTGTGTTTGCCAAGTGCTGGTAAAGGCGTGCATTTTACAGGTTTGAAGATTCTTATAGCAGAGCTGTTGAGATGGCTGAGCAGGTTAAGTGCTTGCTACCCAGGCCTGGCAACTTGGGTTTTATCCCTGGAATTCACATTAAATGGTCCTTTAACTGCCACATCTGGTGGGACACACATGCCCACAAATACATATCATATAAACAACACACATACATGCATAATACATTTTAAAAATCTAAGCCTGGTGGTAATGACACATGCCTTTGATCCCAGAGGGCTGAGGCAGGCAGATCTCTGAGTGAGTGAGTTCTAGGGCTTCATAGAGAAACCTTGTCTTAAAAGATGGGGAAAAAAATCTTATTTTTCTTTGTACTTGGGAGATAAACTATATACAGATCCTTAGAACACTTAACATGCACAAAGAAAAACCGGAACCCCCAAAACAAGTTCTAAAGACAAAGAGCTTTTTTCACTGTCAGAAAAATCATCCCAAGAAACAGGATAATGGTCTCTGTTTTCCTTACATGATGTCACTCATTAAGTAGTGTTATACAGCTGCATGCAAATGAGTGCTTTGAGATACTTTGCAAACAAAATTAGGAAAATAGCTGCCACTTACTGACTCTGCACTAAATGCATTTAACTCAGGTAATTCAACCAAAGTCTCAGAAAGAACAATCTAAAGCATGTACCGATTCTCCCTGCTTCTCTTTCCACGTGTATGGAGATGCTCCCCAGGGTGATCGCAAGTTCCTGTGGACTTCTGGGGGCAGTGAGCATTGGATTCCAGGTTTTCAAAGGTAATTTTATTACCCTGTAGGCCTCACCTTCCTCCCTGCAACTACAGCTCTATCACACCTACCCGGGGCCCAGGCGTCAACATTCCTAGCTCACACCTGGAGAAGGAGGCTCGGCAGGGGTTAAATTAAGAAAGAACAGACAGCTATTAAAAGCTGACTCCAGCACTCCTAACTGCTGCAATTCTATCACATAAAATTCTCTAAAGCTTTTATTTAAGCGATCCAGAGAACTCCTTGGCATTTTGAGATGCACCCAGTCACTTCGTAGACAAGGAAACGGAGGCAGAGAATAGAGCTGACTTGCCTGAAATCCTCCAGCAGTGTCCAACACAGCGTCCAGGTGCTGCACACTTGAGGGGTCCCAGTACAGCCCTACCCTCCTCACCCTCCCGGGTCCTACCCTACCTCATCTTCCCTGGCCTAGTCACACCGACTCCACCCTCTTTCCTCCCGCCCTCCCCCCCAAGAGGGAGATGTAAGTAGCAGTACCTCGCTTCTGGCTTCCTCAAACACTTGCTGGGAGCATCACAAGCCTACAATGCCAGCACTCGTCAGACTCTTGAGTTCAAGTCCAGCCTAGTCTAGTAGGGAGACCCTGTTTCTAAGATAAAATTTTAAAAAGCAGCTGCATACAAAATAGGACTGGACTACCAGAAGGCAGCCAGTGTGGAGACAGCCAGGGCGGGGGATGCAGGAGGAAGCTTAAGTAGCTAATTGGTGATGGGGTTCAGGTGCAGCACTTTGGCAATGGCGCCCCTCCTGAAGTGTACGAAGGGCCAGGTGCACTCAAGGATTGAGTCCAGTCCGCGGCTGGCCTCCCTGAATCCCCACATGACTCCTGGAAAGGGTCTGAAAAGGTACTAATTAAACCAAAGAGGCAACCCCTGCTATGATACAGACTTCAGGTAGGAAGTATTAAGTCTGGGCCACCAGTTTTAGACATCGTCTTGCTGCTGGGGAAGGGTCTGGCGCCACAGAACACTATTCCTCACCTTCACCAGGCGCCTCAGCTCCCTGTCTGCAAGCAGACCCAAGCGGCAGAGCGGGGTTCGGGCTTCTACTCCCTGCGCTTTAGGAGTGTTAGTAAATCAGGGCTCCGTGTAGGATAAGGAGGAGAAAAGAAGCTCCTCGGCTACCAACTGTATCCTGAGCTCCGAGGAGGCCAACTGAGCATCCAGAGCTTTCTGGGAGAACTCCCCCTTTCTCCCTGTCCCTCTCAAAGCACACCCTGCAATCTGTAATCTGCTAAACCCACAAGCATGTGGGCCCACAGACTTTAGGGCTCAGTAAGTGTGGTTGCTACCTACTACTACCTGTGTAGGCAGCCTGGCTCCAATTAACCAGGGCACAGTGGCCTGGCTGCCCAGACTGTGAGACCAAGGGATTGCCAGCCATCTTGGTTCCCTCCTCTGTGTCCTGGAGACCAAACTAGACATAGCAGGCTCCTGGGACTCACTGGTGGCTTCTTTAGACTTCCTAACGAAGCTCTCACCACGAACTAACGGGGTGCACCTCAGGTGCACCAAGGGAAGGACCTCAGTGGCTAGCTACCAAGTTCAGTTGCTTTACTGGACCCTGAGTCTGGAGGGGACAAGGGTGAGGGCAGTCCACAAGGGAAGTGACACTGGCCACCAGGCACCCTTGGGGGTGCCAGGAGACGCTGGGTGGCTGGGTAGAGCTGGCCCACCTGGAGCGGCAAAACCAGGGACCTAACTTTAGAAGCTCGAGGTCTGGGGAGGGGCTGAGGCCAAACCATTGTGCCTGCCGGCTGGGGAGGGAAGAAAGGCTGATCGGCGGGGGGTGGGGAAGGAGGTGTGGGGGTAGGGGGAATTTAAAACAATGCCTCGCGTCCCTGTCCACCACGCAGTTCCCTAGCATCTCCACCGGTGGGCCTTAGACCTGAGCCCTTTACTATGCTGAAGTCAACCCATAGGCGCCTAGGGCGTCAAGCTGAACGAGGAGCCGGCCCTTTCTAGTTTGGAAAAAATAATCCTGCTTTACTGACCTCGAGGGTGGTCCAGAGCCCTGGGGAGCATCCACTCTTCTCTCCACCTTCCAGCCTGGGTCATTTAGGCCACCCTACAGCGAGAGGCCTTCCCGGAGAGCGTCCCTTGAGGAGCTCCACGCTCAAGGCCACGCCAGTCTCGAATCTGTAGTGGACCATTGAGCGTGGACCGGCCTACAGCCAACTGGCTGGTGGGGAAGTGGTTTAAGCCACTCCCCCCAGGAAATCGCCCACCTCCAGGGCTCTGGTCCCAAGATGAAAGAGGTGCAAATTCGGGGGTCACTTCCAATGGTAAAGTGATAGCGGCTATTGTCTTACCCACTGTCCCCCGCTGGGCGCGTTAAAATGCCCTGACCTAGCTCTGAAACAGACCCCTCTCGGCCCAGGGAAAACTTAAAAGAAAATCGAAAGATTTCCTAAAAGTTTGGGGGGAGGGGAGGAAAAGATGACTAGATAGAAGGAAGAGAAAAGTTTATAGTTAAGCTTGAGGGCTGGGGAGTGACAGTTTGCTGTCGTCCCGAAAAAGCCATGGATGATTGAGTAGAGAAAGACTTTGGTGTTTTCCGAACCCCTGAAATGCATTTCTGCCTTTGCCAGCTTGCCTAAATAGGCCCTACAAGACTGGAGCGGTCAAACAGGGAAGCGGCTCCCTGCCCCCATCTTGGTGTAGGCCTGGTCCTCACAGAGTCTTCTCCAAACGAATGTCCCGCCATTCCTCGCTCGTCCCTCAGGCTTGGGGCTCAACACCACTTCTTCCCAAAGCTTGCCTAGGCCTAAACTGCATCTGGCAGGGGCTGGGGGGCAGGGTGCAACTCCACACACCTAAACTCTGGGCCCACAGGGCTTTAATCCCTCCCGCAGTGCACCTAGGGCCCTGGGGGTTTTAAATAATCCCAAAAGGATCCAATCCCAGCTGCCTGTCTGGATCTTGGCAGTGGGGGAGGTGAGGAGCTCCAATGGCGGCCTTTGGAAGTGGGTTCTCTCCAGGAGTTTTCCTGCCTGTTTTTAACCCTTTGGAGTGCTATGAGTAGCTCATTTCTTACCCAAGCTTCCATGTCGACCAGGGTCCCTCCCTTCAGTAGCCGCTTGCCCCTCGGGATCCATTATACCCAAAGTCACTGTTACCATTTTTCCCAGACCCAATTATGGGCTTTCATATCACTCAAAAATCCCTTCTTAGACATCCGTTCCAGTTAAGGGCTCTATGATGGCTGTTACCAGCTCTACCCACCGGGATGGCAATGGCCTGAGGCAGTGGTTTAGCTACTCTCTCCATCTTGGATTTGAATGCCAGCCTTGGGCAAATTGTTAACCCTCAGAACGCTGACTTCTTGGTTACTGGGGCATAGCATTTGATGCCCAATCAATCGAAAGTATCTTAGATTCTGCATGGCACCAAAGGAGTATATTTGAACTCTGAAGCCTTCTGGTGATTTGAAATTGCTTTTTATGTTTTAATGTAAATTTGTAGTATTTTTAAAGTTTGAGAGAATAGTGGGAATCACATAGAAGGAGATAGAATTACAGGAAACTTTTTTCACTTATCTTCCTGTGCTGTTTGACATTTTATAAGGAGCTGTATGGATTGATATCTTTTTTAAATAATGAGGATAATTGAAAATTCTTTAAAAGGCTAATGGAATCTTTTAAAATGTTTTTTTAAAGAAGACATATTGGAGAAAAAGAGCTTGGAGACTGTTCCATTACAAAAATGTTACTTCAGAAAGAAAGAAAGAAAACTACATGTAATTTCATGATTTAAAGGCAGCTATTGTGAACATTTTTATATGTTTTGTTCCTAATCTAGTTTTTCCCCCTTATGATTAGAGCAACTTAAGCATTTTCTTTAAAAAAAAAAAAAAAAAAGATTCAAGTGGCACAGAGTAAAAACAGAGTGAAGAAGACTCTGGGATGACTGAGCCGGAAAAGGCCATCAAGCCTGTCGATGAGTTCTGTCCCTGGGCACCACGTGGTGGAAGGAGAGAAAGCTTACAACAAATTGCCTTCTAATCTCCACATGTGTGCCATGGTACATGACACACACACACACACACACACACACACACACCACACACACACACCGGAATAAATGAAATGGGTCTCTAAAAATAGAGTAATCTGAGCAGCCTCTTTTCCCACGCTCAGCACTGTCCCTATCTATCCGCCAGCGCCATCTCGGTGTATTTCTATCTGAGGATGTTTTCTCTGGTTGGATGTTTTTGTTCTGTGTTAAGGATTTAATTTTTTTTCCAACTCTGATAATTCAACCTAGGGCTGCACTCACAGGGCAAGAGCTCTACCGCAAAGCTGTAGCCCCAGCCTCCCCAAACTTTTTGAGACAGGATCTCACTGCATTGCCCACGCTGATCTTGAACTCACTCTATCTGTAGCCCAGGCAAGACCGTAAGCTTTCAACCTTTCTACTTCAGCCTCCCAAGTAGCTAGGATCACACACCTGAACCATCAGACAGCTACGACTTTACAATTGGGATCAAATGCATTATATACATATGTAATACATAAACAATAAGCCAGACAGTGGTGGCACATGCCTTTTATCCCAGCACTTGCAGGCAGAGACCGACAGGAGGATCTCTGTGAGTTCGAGGCCATCCTGGTCTACAGAGTAAGTTCCAGGACAGCCTCCAAAAGGTACAAAGAAACACTGTCTCAAAAAACCTAAATAAATAAATAATGTGTCATGATATGTATAAAATATACATAATAGAGGCAGGAAGGTAGCACAGCTTACACAAGCTCTAGCCCTACAGATCTGATGATCAACCTGATCCCACAACCTGAACCCCAGGCCTGGTATGGCGGCCATTTAGCCAGTGATAAGCCTAGCAAGAACAGGAACAATAGAGGTGCTGCCTCTATTGTTGACAAATTGTAACAAAGTGGAAGGCGGAGTTGACTGCTGAAAGTTGTCCTCTGGCCCCCACATGGTGCTTGCCCACATTCACACACACATACAACAAATAATGAATGTACAGAACCTGAGAGACAGCTCAGAGATCAAGAATGTTCCCTGCTAGCCCAGCAGTGGTGGTGCACACCTTTAATCCCAGCACTCAGGAGGCAGACCCAATCGGATCTTAGTTTTGAGGCCAGCCTTGTCTACAGAGAGAGTTCCAGGACAGCCAAGGCTATACAGAGAAACCCTGCCTCGAAACACAACAAAAAAGAATGCCTCCCAGTACCTAGTACCTGAATTATAGGATGACTCACAACCACCTGTAGTTCAACCCAGGGATCTGACACTCTCTTCTGGCTTCTTCAGGTACATATGTGGCATGCATTCACACCGACACACATAAATACACATAATTTTTAAATTCAATAAATATATATATAATATTCAAAATATTTATACACCTTGACTCAAAATGTTCTGAAAAGATCTAGAATACAGTCGAGCATTGGTGGTGCACGTATTTAATTCCAGCACTCAGGAGGCAGAGGCAGGCAAATCTCTGTGAGTTCGAGGCCAGCCTGATCTACAGAGTGAGTTCCAGGACAGCCTCCAAAACAATACAGAGAAACCCTGTCTCAAAAAGAAAAAAAAAAAAAGATCTGGAATTCAAAGGTGAATCCTGTCCTCTGACAGTAGTTTCTTTCTAAGTAAACGCCACCTGTTCTGACTCATTTTTGGTCAATTGACACAAG